AACTTGCACCGTGTTTTCCATTAACTCCTATCGCAAAAGAACCGAACGAGTCGAAGTATGATTGGAAGTGGTCTGTGCAGTTGTGTTGATTGAGTGCACATGCCGCAGCAGCATCACATACACACAAGACACATCTATGAAGTGATTTTTTTTTTTACCGAGGGTAGCTTGTAAACCTGCTCGTTAAATGTCCTGCAATTGTATTCAGCACGTTGCATTTAATGTGCACAGCGTACACAAATCTGTTGGGACACAAATGACTCCAGTCACCGAGACCTACCAAGCAGTGTCACAGAAACCTGTCTCATGTGATGTCCCTACTGCTGCTGCAGAAATATAGCAACCCATAGGTCTGTCTAAGTACCATTAGAGACATGGAGGATGAGTTAAGTGTGTAGTTTAACAGCCTGGGATGACGGCACATTCACATTAGCAATTAGTGCACTTAAAGGCTTTTTAGGCCACATCAATCCATCCAAACCAATTGGCTTTTTAAGCGCAGAACAACTGGAGTTGGTGGAGCTTGAGTAATGTTGGCAGAATAGTTCACAAAATCCTAGTTTCATACGTAAAGAATAATTGATTAGATCAAAGTCTTTAATGTTGAGACTGATTTGGTTTCTTATGTTTAGACAGCTGCAGGTCAAGACACAGATCTCATTCCTACTGTATTTCCTGTCCACATCTCACTGCATTTAGAAGTCTCTCGCCTGTCTTTAATCAACACGTAGTGCTGAGATGTTGTCTCATTCGTTTTTCTCCTGGTATTGATTTTGGCATGGCATGTTGCCTAGGACATTTCCAAAGTCTGGTGTGGGAATGCTGTGGCTTGTTTCATTCGTCAGACGCTGAAATGTTAGCATGGAGCTGTACTAGATAGGACGTGTGTAAGAATAGCCAGATGGCTTTGGCGGTGTGGTCTCTGTTGATGCCAGCCGGTGTCTAAAAGGAGTACAACACTAGCATTGTTGCTATATCTGATTTTCTCGCTAAGAGTTCGGCACCACAACAAGTTGAGGTTATGTGCAGGGCTGCAGAGACAGACATGGCATCGACTGCTCCATTATGTAAGCAATTAAGCCTATTTTCCCAAATCCAATGTGTTTCCCATAGGTTTACAGCTTCAGGGCGGGTGTAGTTGTCGGGCAAATGGTCTGGCCGAGGGAGGGGGGGGGGGGGGGTAGTGGAGTGGGCGCCCCTCCCCCTGTTATAACGGTAGGGGGAACACTGGTAATGTTAAATTGGCTATTTTCTCCCTCTTGACCCTCTTCTCCTTGCGTCTTTGGCATTGTCATGCTCCAGTTATGTCGGGTTAGAAGTCCTCTGACGGCAGCGTGACGCCACTCAGTCGGCATCTCCCCTCAACACCCCCCCCTGCCCCCTGGCCCCCTTTCCTTCCCCTGTCATCTTCTTAGTCGGACCCTCAATGCCCCCTCTGTCTGGCCCCATAGGCTGTACGTCCTGAGTGGACGAATAGAGGGTTTCTTCCTGTCTTTCCCCCTATCAGAAGACACCAGAATGCTTGGAGGAAGGGGAGGAGTGGGAGCAGTGGGGGGGACAGGACAGCTGCCCCACTCCATCCCAGTCCAGTATCGTCCCATTCCCAAGCCTGGGGCCCGTGAACACTGGACTCCTACGAGCTGAACTGGTCTCCGTAATTGTGGAGTGAGCTGAATGGTTCACAATCAGTCGGTGGATCAAGACTAGAATGGATGTCTTATGTTTCCTTCAGTCATTAAGCACTTGACCCCGGCTCGAACCAGTTGGCATTTAGTCCTGTCACGTCGGACACAATGGAATACACACTAAAAAGGAGGACCACGTGCCTCATCGTGTTCTTCACAAGCCTTGACATGAGGTATGTAATGGTGGACTGCTCGGTATTCGGCTGAGGTCATCTGGTGACACTGTTCCAGGGTTTGTGTGTGGCATTGGGTTCAAAGTTCACCGATGTAGTTTGGATTCTGTAATGTTGATATTCAGCGTGTTAGTACACATACACACAGATGTTCATGTAATTATATCAAATGTAAAAGTATTCTGTTAGTATATAAGGGAATTGGTGCCTTCAATGTGTTGTCTGGGATTCTGGGTCAAATTTAGTCAAGATAAACAAGGAAAAGATTTTTGCTGGAAAAAACTGATTACTTGACAACACAAGAAGCAAGAGTGTAGATACATGACAAATTCCCACAGTCAAAGCAAAGGATCATAGGGATGAGAGGAAAGATGGTTACTTGTAGTGGTGCATCCTGGCTTCTTATATAAGTAAAGCTAAAGTCTAACTGCAAGTGAAACAAATGCTGAGAAAAATTAGTGTTTTTGTGCAGACAGATTTTGCGCATGCAAAAAATGAAAAGTGCTTGTTCTCTCAATGCGCTCTAAAAACACTTTGCATATCACTAACCGCATTGTTTCAAAAATGTGGTGGAGGGTAGAGAAGAAATCAAATCACTGACCAGCTGCATGCAAATGTGGAGTAACCGAGTTATTGCATTGCATGTAAATGTGATGTCAGACTTTCTGACATCACATTTTCTGTCTTAACCGTATTTCTTCCACTCTCCCGTTGTCTTGTGTGCATATAAATGAAGTCATTTTCCATATGCATGCAAAGTACGGATGCCTCTGACTCTCGGGTACGTTTTGTGTTCTAAATGTTGCATGCATGTGTGGTGCTGAATGGCTGCTACAAAGCAAGTGCGCCTTTTGCTGTGTGAAAGTCCACAGATGGAGGAGAGATGCTCGTGCTACCGCACAGCTTGTCATCCCAGAACTACTACAGTCTGCAAGCATGCTAATGTGGCACTTGAGAAACCGTGGATGCAGACTGTCTCCAGGGCGGCTCTGCTCTGAATCCGAGTACATGTGATTGAGCCGTGGCATCCAAACATTATTTCTTCATCTCAAGTATTTTGAGATGAATGCTTTTTCACTGTCAAGCCCCAGGAGGGAATGCATTTTGACACATCCTATTTTCTGTTATCCTCTTGATTATTTCCCTGCTGTACTCATTTTTGGCTCATTACACCTTTTATAGCTATATTAATCCCTTTGTTGTACGTGATGAAATCATCTGTTTTTTAGATGATCTTCCTGTCGAAGCTCCTTTTTATAGTTGCACATGCTTAGCGTCATTCAGTATTATCAAATGTTGTTCTTGAAGCAGTTTAATTTTTAGTTTTGCAGAAAGGTTTTGTGCAAAAAGCAGACCATGCAATCCATTCAGTATCCACAAATTCTCAGATACAAAGCATAATTAAACGTCAAATGTATTGGAAGGATCAGTAGAGTGTGCATCTAATGTCTGTCTTCATATTGTTTGATATCGTTCGCTCTGTTTTATCTCTCAACTGTAAGTAACTGGTTGTTTTTCTCGTGAATTTGACAAGTAACTCCTACTCAGTGACTGAGGCAGTTTGATCACACCCGTCTCACTACTTGCCCAGTTGTCCGCTTGTCACCCTGGGCAGGCCTGGCCTCGCTGTAACCTAAGCTCTCAGTCCTCCTGTTCCCTGCAGGGTAACTTGACCCAAGGTTGCTTTGTCATGTGCCAGAGAGCGCGGTTCCCTCTCCACACCCATCGTCTTTGTGCGGCCAACTCAACAGAGACGCATCGGTGTTGTTTTAGCGCATTCACTTCAGCTCCTACGGTTAAATGTGCTATTTAAGGAGGCCTGCCTCAAAGGATGTAGTTGTAATAGATTTAAGCCTCATTTGGACCTTGTGGGTGTGTTTGGGATTATATAATGTTGTCCTTTTGAACCGCAGTGTCTTAAACATGTGCTGCACGTGTGAGTGTGCAATATGTCCGTGTGGGATGTGAATGCTTTCTACTTCTTCTTTTTTTTATGTGACTGCGTGTGTGTTGTTTTTCATGTTTTGGTGATTCCTGCAGTTTAAAAAGCCAGGGTCGATTTTCAGATCTACAGGTTGTTTCTTCATCCTGTTTGTGGAGGGAAAGGTCTGATGCTCATCATCCTGTGTCCGTCAGGAGCTTGGCTCACTAACAAAGGGCCCCCTGTGGTTGCAAAAATACCTCCCCCATCTCCCTCTCACATGTACAGCATTGTTAATCTGGTCAAAACTGTACCCCAAAACAATAAACAAATAAGCTTTAGTTTGCATTCCTCACTCTCTGGTCCGTTGCCTGATCCCAGCGATCTCTCTGCTCGTTGTTTGTGTACTTTGCCATTAACTCAAATCTCAAATGGCACTGGAAAAGTTTCAGGTATTTGATCAAATATTTGATTACTTTCGAGTACTACGGTATTTGAACGAAGTGTCCAAACATACTTTCCTTAACTTAAGCCACAATGGGGAGGACACCGTTTTTTTGTGCAGAGCTTATTTTCAGCCTTCCTCTAATGACTCTGCAGAGTTCATGTCCAGGTTGAGTCCGCATTTATAAACATAAAACGCCGCTGGATGTTTTCTAAATATATCTATGAACACCGTGAGGCGGAAAAACATCATCTCACAACAAAACCGTGTGCCGCCTTTTTACTTTTGAAGGGCTAAAGAGGCTGCTCACTCTCACTGACCTACATCGTTTAAACAACAACAACACGTGATATGACTGCTATGCGTGATATGTAAACCATTTCTGAAGCCACACGGTTTGTTTTCTGCCCAAAGTAAAATATCTATGTGCAGTGTTAATTTTGAATAATTCAGTAATGAATCACTGATATAAAAATATATTTTTTCTTTTTCTAAAAGCAAATACCAATAGCCTGTTACCCTTTTGGTTATTCGCCCGATCATGGGGCTGGGCCAAACTATGTGGCTTTTGTTCTGGTCATCCCTGACACATATTTCTGGTTGCGGGCCTCTTTCCTCTCTGGCCTCGAGTATTCTTCAGTGAGTGCAGTGCAGCTGGCGAAGACACAAGCTACACTAGGACACACTGGCTGAGCTGGAAAAATAAAGCATTTGAACAGAACGGAGCAGTCATTGCGAGGAACACGCATCTAACCTTTGGCCTGGTTTGTCTGCAGGCATGGAAGAAGCGGTGGTTTGTTCTTCGGTGTGGCCGTCTGACGGGCGACCCAGACGTGTTGGAGTACTACAAGAATGACCACGCCAAGAAGCCCATCCGCGTGATTGATCTCAACCTGTGCGAGCAGGTATGGTTCCCCAGCGTTTTCGGCTCGCCTTTCTGAATGTGATTAATTCTTCATTTGAATTGAGTCATATTTTGACCAATTACAGTTAATGCCCTTCAAGTCATCACAACGTTAGGCGGTTTGGGTATAAGTCATAGGCAAAGATTTCTTTGTTGGAAAGAGGAAACACTTTATACAACACTTTCTTCCTTTCTGTTCATTACAAATGAAAATATAAAGTATATGTCAATACAAGCCCCATATTTCATGAAGCTCACTATTTGTCAAATCTATGAGCAAATCCAATAACAACATCCGTTGATCCGAGAGATCATCCTGTGACACTGTATAGAGACCTCAAAACACCTAATATAATTAGATGTTTTCCCATAAATATGAAATATATATTTGACAGGGAATTATTACCATTTTAACCTCTCTGCACCAGTGGTAAACATCTTATAATACATACTAAATGTGGCATTAGTAGTTTTTATTAAGTATTTTTTGCAGATAGCTGATACACAGGTTGAAAGAACATTTTGTATATTTGACAGGCTATTTATTTGAGCTCTACCACTTCACACATTTGATTCCGTATTTATTGGCTGTAAATATTAACTTTATCCTTCTATGTATTTGCTGATATATGTTTGTTACCACTTCAGGTGGACGCTGGGCTGACATTCAACAAGAAGGACCTGGAGCACAGCTTCATTTTCGACATCAAGACCATCGACCGTGTCTTCTACCTGGTGGCTGACACCGAAGAAGAGATGAATAAGTGGGTTCGCTGCATCTGCGACATCTGTGGTTTTAACCCCACTGATGACGGTAAGCGTCGCCATTCCATAGTTAACTACGCGCTGTTGCTGCACTGCTTCAGTGTTGCTTCACCCTCTGGTACGTCTGGGTCTGCAGGGAGTTCAAGTTTACACCATGAATAGTCATGACAAGTAGTCAAGACGTGAGGAACAAGTGAGGTTAAGTGAGAAACAGCCTCGAAAACGTATGACGCCAATATGACATAATGACAGCAACCATCTAACACTAACATATTCAGAAAGAAATAGAGAAAATAAACATAAATCTTATTATTGACTTTATAGACAGTCACTTTTTGTTTTACAGTATTATTGTCGTTTTTAATACATTATTGATCAGCTTCATAATCAGCTGTCCACGAGTATAAGGAGTGAGGGGAACAGGCTCAATGTGCCAGAAAGCCTCTTTTCAGCAGAGTTCCAATGATCCGTGTGTTGTGTTAAATCTCACATTACCGTCGTCCCCAGTACTCTATAATTGAATCATTGTGTTTGTGTTCGTCTCACTGACCCGCTTTCCCTCTTATCTGGTTATCATTGTCTCTCGTTTGCGCTCTCTCGTTTCCTTCTCTGGCCTCCGTCTTCGAGCCTAAATGCAGGCTCAGTCGCTGTCCGTCACGTCGTGCTGCTCAGAGTCTTTTACGGGGAAGAATGTACATTTTCAACCTGGCAAATGAGTCACCGATTATGCTCCTCCAAGGTCATCTTCTCCTCAGCCTTGCGACTGTGCCCCCACGTCTTTTACATGGCTGGTGTTGCGGGGCAAGCCCGATAACACTCTTCAGCAGAGTTATCAAAACTGGCTGTTGAAAGCCTATCGTGCAAACAGACTGTGTTCAAGGAGATAAAAAATCTTTGCAGACAGTCCTCCTCACAATTCCTGGTACAAAAGAGTGTCCTTGGCTCTCCCTTCAGCGCTCTCTTTCACTCTTTTGCCTGTGAAACCCGACTCTGTGTCCTGCCAGAGTGCTCCGTGGTGGGTCCCATATTAGAGGAGGGAGACAGAGGAGGTGGTGAAGATGAGTACGAGCAGAGGGGATTTCTCCTTTTTCCTGTTTGAATCAGCACAGTTTTAACAAACAAATGATGGGGCGGGGAGGAGAAGATGGCCGAGGAGGACATTTTTAAAACGGGAGAAAGAGTCTCCTGGCGTAAGAGAACGCCTTGTCGGTAATAGGAGAGAGTGGGAGGGGAACTGTGAAGAAGAAAAAAGTAGAACAATGCAGAGTGAACGCAGAGATGCTCGTTCACCGAGCGTACGCATCGGCCATCTGCGCCGTGCAACAATCAACCTCAGCAGAAGGGTCTGAAAGAAACTCTGATATTTGTGTGACGAAGCAGAGACCTTGAGGAAATTCTGTCTGTGAAGGAGTGTGTGGGATTCTGAAGGCAAACGCCGTATTCAGGCTGTTCACCAACAAACAATAATGCCTCTGAGTGGGTTCCGTGCATTTATGTGAGTTGGACTTGAAAAGAAGGATAAATATGTGCATTCGTGACGGCTTCTTTGTGCACATCGACAGCAATGACCGGAGTGTGCTATACCTTGATATCAGGTGCCGGTATTATTTAGGGAATGTTATCACACACTCATTTTGCATGTCCCACTGTGTATCATTTCCTTCCCCTCATTTCAAGTTAAGATGTTTGATTTCTCCCCGAAATGTTCCACCCAAGAAGACACGGACGTTGTAGATTCCTTGGGCGTGTCAATTTTTGGTTGAGCTATTCTAAAAGAGGAGTCCAAGATTTGTTCTGAAGGTGTCGGGCAAACAAACACACAGAGCATTTAAACACCAACAGCCAAGTGTTTTAAAATATATTTCCTTTGTTCTCTCTTCTCATTGAATTGTAAACATAAAAAAAGCCTTAGAATATATAAACCTCAGCCGCCCATGTTCACATATCATAGAGCTGTGAAGTTGATGTAGTGTGGAGTTCTGTTGCTAAGAAACCGCTTGGGTTCACTCAGCCGGTTGACATTTGCAAACACCGCTTACTGTTTACTTTCTGCTTAATATCGGTCTCCAACATCACCAACTCTGACTCACTGGGCTTCCTTGGCCCAATACAAATGTTGTAAATTCAGTATGAGAGGTACGTAACAGAAATAGGACCACTAAAATTAGTCCAATGTGTCCTTTATATGTATTGTAATACACAAGATTAAAGTCCACCTTATGTAAATAAAACAACTGATTGATCCTTCAAACTTTAACCAACCTGATGCCTTGCATACCAATATTGAGATTTTCTACGGTGGGCTTTGTGATGCCCTGATAAATAACTACAAAATCACTGAAAAATATGTGAGCCCAGACGTTCATAGACATCTGCTGAGCCGTGTCTGAAAGGTCTTGATTACGTCTCATCTTTTGGCCTTAATTTAATCTATTCTTGATTACAGTCCAGATAATAATACGATCCATTTAATTGGTGGCCTTTGTCGTACACGGTAGCGCACCTCAAGGCTTCATTTCATGATGGCGTCTCAAGAACTGTATTACGTTTTCAGTAGAGTTGAAGGGCGGTTCAGTGGCAGCGGCCCTCCTCTACAGTCATCCGTGACTAACCTTGTACTTTTCTGTTTCGTTATACTAATGAAGATTATTCAGAGGAATTCACCTCAGTTGCCTTGTTTCTTTCTTGCAGAGGCAGCGAAAGCCGCTCACCAGTCGGCCATCGGAGGCCTGGTGGTGGACACGGCACCGCACCCAGCACTGGGTAGCATCGTCGGCCCAGCAGCAATGCTGACCAGTGTGCCCCCTCCATACCAGCCGGTCAAAGTGCGCCACCTGGACTCTCAGTCCAGTTCAGACGAGCCCCAGGATTACCTCTGGCTCGTCAACTGTGAGAGCAAAAAGCCTGAGCCCAACAGGTGAGCGTGCTTATTGGATGTATTATTAGATGTCTCTGTATCCACTCTATATATGTTTCCAACCCATTTCTTCTTTTTGTACACTTCATCTGCACTGCCGCTCTCGCCGTGTCTCCGCTGTGCGGCTTGTAGCTCAGTGCAGCGTCGCTCTCCATTGGAGGGGGACCAGGAGTATTTGCTCCTTGAGGAGTGTGAGAGCAAGAGTCTTCCTCTTCAGGCTAGTCTGTGAGTGACCAGCCATCCAGCTGGAACGGCCTGCTTTTGTGTAGAGTGCTACACGTGTATTTAAAAAAGTCCTAGCTGCAGGTTGATATTACAGCTGGATGTTTTAGTATGGATATTTGAACTGTCTGATCCTTGTTGATCAGAACAGACTAAATTGTACTCAACCTAACAATGCATCAACTGTTTTGGTTGCCTGCGTGTTAACAACAGCATTTACCGAACATCTTCTGTGAAAAGAGATGCTAACATATTTGTGCCGAGATTAGTGAGGTGTCTGCAGATACCGTTGTGTTGCTAACCCTGGTTTGCAGGCCGTGCTGTGAAGGCTCACCCAACGGAGTGGATTTCTTGGCTTGTCGACATCGATTGTGGATACCTAACTCTGGCGTATTTGCATATCGTCTCCTTAGAGCTCACGGCGAGTGTTCCAAGTCTACCTCTTCAGAGACGGACCTGAACGACAACCTGCCCTCTCACCGCACGCCCACCTCCACGTCTTCAGCCAAGCACACGTCGCACAACGGCTTCTTCCCGCAGCACCCGGCCCCCGCCTCCGCCTCCTCCATCTACGACTCGCCCCCGTCGCGCTGTGCCTCCCTGTCGACCGACAGCAGCCTGTACCACCTCCCTCGCAGCTGCTCCCAGGACACGGTGCTGCTTCCCAAGTCCGCCTCGTCCCCCGTGGCCCACCCGGACAGCGGGGACGGCTCCGAGCTCTACGTCTTCAACACCCCGTCGCGGAAGCCCTCGATGGAGTCGCAGCTGCGCAACCTTTCCATCAGTTACGACATCCCGCCCACGCCCGGCGCAAACTGCACCTATCAGGTGCCCCGCACTTTGTCCGCGTCGACGGGCACGGGAGGCTCAGAGGGCGGGGGGGACGCAGTGCCCCCTCCCAGGCCGCCAAAGCCTTCGCTCGGTTCCACCTCAGGACCGCCGCCGCCCCCTGCCGAGCGCTCGCCCACGGACAACTACTTTGTGCCTCGCTCGGCGTCCGAGACGGACGGGAACTACTGCGTGCCCACTAGCAGCGGGAACAAGGCCTTACGCAGCAACACCATCGGCACCGTGGACTGTTCGCGCATTCGCAAAGGTTTGTGCTCTGTCAACACCGCTATGAAGTACAAATGATGCTTTACGATTTTACAATATTTGAATTCTATTTTATGTTGGATTGGACGCCTCTTTCCTCGATGTAATTTTGACCGTTTAAGTGCAGTGATAAAGTAACTTTACGATGGTTCGTGCAGAAAATGTAATCATATATGTCAGTAATAACTTCCATCTCAAACATTGAAATGATGGCAATATACATTAAGAATCATCTTGCTATGTCCTCACTTGTACAGGCCTCCTGTTGCATCGCTGAAACCACGTATTGCTTTAGCAGAGCCTTCTTTGTTGTACATATATTGTACTACAACGTTTTCCTTACCTCGGAAGTATGGGACTGTGGTCTAAATTTGACCAGACACCATACATGTGAGCTATGTTTTAACTATTTAAATAAGGGTTTCCAAGTCGATTTGAAGAAGATTTGACTAAAATCTGACACGCTATTCTGTGTAGACAAGAGTTGCCTTTTCTAATGAAAGACAAATAAAGCAAATCTAATACTGAAATGTTATGATTACAGCATAGATGTTAAATCAATACGCAGCATCCTTTGCTAGAAAGATTTTAAATAGATAGGTAAAACACAATCTTGTGACTAGAAGAGAGAAAATCAAGTAAGCATGGACACCACATTAATATTCTCCAGTCACTCCCCCCTCTTGTGGTAAAAAATGTCATTACAGTTGTCTCCGTGACCAGACAGATAAATTTCAGCAAGTAATTTGGTGAAACTGTTATAAGCCTAACCTTTGCTTGTAAAGCTGTCAAACTGCCACGGCACAGACAGTGAATATCGCAGGCTCGTCAGAGGATGTTTGGTGCGAGTCTGCGTCAAATGTGTCAGTGACTGTTTCACACAACACAAGTCCAACTTGAAGGATTTACTTTGGCTCTGCATCTTGAGAGTGGAAATACACAGTAAAGCCACTGAAAGATTAAGTTATTTATACTGCAAACAGGATTTCATCGAAGCTTTTCACTTTACATTGTTTCTTACAATATTATAAAGAAATGATCGATTTCTCCCTGTCAGGACCCCCCACACTCCCCTCCCCGCTTATTTTCCTAGCACTGCTGTAGTTCTTGTGGCCGTAAGTGAAATGCATTAGTGCCTGCATTAGCGGCTAATGAGAATGCAAAAAGCAATAATATTGTGCATTAGATACTGTTACATACTGTTATGCTGTAGCATAAATGTAGCATTTGGCTTTATAAGGGGGGAGCCATTATAATTAGTGCTCTTCATTTCCTGAAGCGGTTGATTGTTAAATATCTCATTTGATAAAGTTCCCATATATTAAATTGTCCTGTATATTTGGTCATTTTATTTGTCTTTTTACAGATTTTGGATCCCAGGACTGCTATGACATTCCTAGATCATTCCCCTCTGAGAAAAACTGTTCATTTGACTTCAATGAAAACTTCAACATGTACTTTGTAAGTGTTGTTCCTCTGGTTTATTAACTCACAGTTCCACACGTGTGTGTGCTTTGACTTTTAGCAATCATACATGTACATTCTATGTGAGTGAAATGCAGCGGTAAAACAACAGCTACAGCCTGGTGTGATCGATTAACTCAACAAAACAATAAAACGATTGATCAGCTAACTGTTACTGCTGGGAATATAAAAAGGACATCACATCCCTTTTTTAGGGTTAAACGAACAAAAAGAAAAAAGAAGCAGTCTCTAATAACAGCGCTCGGGTTGCACAAAGACATTGAATTCAACATAAAAACAGCTTGCCGTGTGGGTTTTGACATTTGTTTGTTGTGAATTTCCTGGTGAGTCTTTATCGGTCCCGCAGGCTGCTTTGCTTCATGGCAGAGACAGCGCTATCTGCTGCTGCATGAATTTACGGTGATGTAATGTGTGCTGACTACTATCAAAAACCAACAACCTGTGTGGTTTTAGTGTTGGTACTTCTTTTTGAGTTCATCCTAGATTGATTTTCCGCTACAACCTTTTTAAGTTTCTCACAATGCTTTTGTCTGAAACAATATTGAACACGAAAATAGTTTTGAGTGTTTGTGTGTGTGCGCTGCTCAGTTTTTTTGTGTAAAAGTAGAGTTGAATATTACTACCGTTGCCGGCTATGATTGATGCTTTTGTCTGTGAACATATTTGTGCCGTGTCCCCCCTCAGAAAAATAAAGGAATGATGCCTGTTGGCAGCCAGTCCACAGAGGAGGTAGACCAGAACTACGTACCCATGAGTGCCAACTCGCCGTCGCACCACCACTCGGGCAGTTTGTCGGAGCCGATGCACGAACCCAACTATGTGCCCATGACGCCGGGCACCATGGAGTTCTCCTCCCTGGGGAAACAGGTCCCCCCGCCCGCCCACATGGGCTTCCGCTCCAGTCCCAAGACGCCGCCTCGCAGGCCCATGCTCAACGACTGCCAGCCCCCGCCCGTCGACCGGAATCTCAAACCTGACCGCAAAGGTGAGAGGACCGCACGCACGTGTAACTGTGACTTGGTTCATGAATGTAGCGCTGTAGGTTTTCATCATGTTCTTGCTGCGGGGGGGGGGGGGGGGGGTGTTGATCTGTGCTGCAGTGTGTTGTTGCTTCGGTGTGCTGAGTATTCACTAATGCAACAACTGACCGTTCTTTGTCTCACACTCTCAGTGCTGGCTCTCGGCCATAACGCCATCCAAACTACTTCAATCATTTCCAGCTGCTCTCAAAGCAGTCTTTCTTCCTCACACCTCAGTTCCCGTTGTGGACCAATGTGTTTACTAATTTTGGTTTCTTGTGGTCCGTCTGTTGTGTTGAACCCCGTCGTCTCTCTCCTTGTCTCGCGCCCGTCCTCGACCACCTTATTTCTCCTCTTGATAAATTAGTTTAGTGCCTGCTACGTCGTCGTACATCCTACACAGTAAGCTGCTTGTCAAAAGCACTTTTGTCCGAAGCTCAAGAGGCCCGCGGGGCGTTTTGTAGGGGGGCGGGCGGTCCCTGTGCCACGGAGTGACCAAAGGCCCAGAGTGGTCACCTAAATCCCCTTTGTTCCCTTCATCTGAATGGAGCTCTTTGATCAAAAGACCTAATAGCAAGAGATTTACAATGTGGGCGGATTGAAAGGCTGAGTAACGGGCGAGGAGAGAAAGCGACCTGAGTGTTGTCGGCGAGGCGGGGAGTCATCACGTAGGCAAACCAAAAGCCACGACAGTCAATGTCACCGAGGAGGAACGGGACGTGTTGGCGAGGTTCACAGTTCCCTCATCGCTGAAGCCTTCTGTGCACCACTCGTGGGCTTATTTTATCCGTGACCTCTGAATCAGTCATCTCAAAAGTTTGGCAGGCATCATAGCTGGAATATTAACACTAAAAATATGTTGGTTTCTCCAAATCGTTACTTGAAATCTTCAGTGGTCATGGATTTTGAATGCACATTGGCAAACAGTGTACTACTTTGTTGTTACCATGTGTGATTTTGACTGCACTTTATTGGACAAGCTAACTCTAGAATATGTAAACTGTAGTTAGCGCGGGGGAAGTCATGCCTCCTAGTAGCCAATCAGGTTGCCCAATCCACTCATATATTACATCCAGTCTTTAGAAATGTCAGATTTAGGGCTGATGATTTCCGGAATGGTTTGGCAGTAAAAAGTCCCGTATGTACTTTTTCTTAGTATTTATCACGTTCTCTCAATAGTTTGAAAGTTATTATACAATTATATTGTTTTTATAATAGTTTAGAGTTAACCAGCTGTCCCACTGCTCCCAGTACAAAAGGCAGCCTGCGCGGATACGCTGATGATGGATTTAAGGAACTGTATTTTGGAGTAGAAACAGCACAGAGAATTGGATTATTCATGATACGTACACACATCTTTTTGGCAGATGTAAGTATGTAAAGCGACCAGACATCCAGACTGAAAACAATAGTGAGTGACATCACTATCTAGATATTTATTCTTTAAACTTGAAACATTTAAAGTAGTGTACAAATAACATGCTCTATTGATCTTTTTTTACCTCGGGTGTTAGTAATTTCTTTTCAATCACCATACAAGATCCCGCCGTAAAGTGGACTAATTTAACTCCCTACCAGTCCGTGTTCACCTTCTATTTCCATCTCTCCATCCCTCTCTGATTTGTCTGCGCCGTATGTTGCGAGAGCTTTGACATCTGTGGGCGAGTCCATCCAACTCTTTTAACTTCCTTAACACTATGACATGTTTCAACTGAAATTAATGATCGTACTTTGAGACTTGACAATGTTGTAATAAGCGTGGTGATGTAGGAGGAGCTACAGTATGTTCTCAACGTTACATCATCTCTCAGTGTACTCTGTGGTCACGCACAGCTCGTCGTGCATGCGCAGCTGCGATGTCAGTCTTTGTGGGGGAGGCCGTGGCGCATGGAGTGAGGTGCATGTCGGGCAGTATGGGTCCGCTGTTGTCATGACTATCATCCTCTTAAAAACTGTGATTGGATGTACGTGCGGGTGGTGTCCCGTTGTTCACCAAAGTCTCGTCTTTCGCTTTGCATGGCAGGACAGTTGTTACTGTAGGGGCTTATTTGTTGTGATCACCAAAGATTTCATAATAAGCAAAGTCTTCTTTCACCAATCAGGTCAGAGTCCTAAAATAATAAGAGCAAAAGGTGTCGGTTTAGAGCGAACCGACTCTCAAACCGTAGGTGAATTCCCGAGGGGACGACGCAAGGGTAGGTACTCCACACTGCCACTGTGTTTCCATTCCTTGACCTGTCTCCAACTCTAATTCATCTCCACTCTTTGCATGTGGTGCACTGTGGGATCTCTCTTGTTCCTCGCGCCTGTTTTTAATGGTTGCTGGCCGCGATGAGCACATCCATCCAGAACTACCCAAATAGGCTCAAGAATAAAACATGGGTGTCAGAGCTGTTGCACTAATCCAGTCTTATTTTAAATCCCAGCAGGAGGGGATTGAGTGTGCACTTCATTCGGGATGGATTGGATTCACAGCACGCCTCTTAGAATAAATTGTTACTACCACCTTACACTAAATATCTTCTCCTTCTAATGTGACTACTTCCATGCACTTTCCCAAAATTCCCTTCCAAAACATTTTTCTGGTTTTATTCAGTATAATTGTTCATCAAAAATATACATTCAGATGTGTTTCAGCCTCAACAGAATTATTGTCACAAGGACGGTCGCGTGGCTGTGGCGAATAGTAGAGGGCCCTTTTAGAGGAAATTAAACACTGATAGCATCTAATAAAAGAGCAATCTCCTCTGCTGGTTCACCTACTGCATGACGTCTGTAGTTTACAATGTTTTACTCCGACTCCTCGTACACAATATGGCACACATTTATGCGTTATACAATTGCCCAATTGTTTTCAGTTCGTATAGGTTTAAAATCTAGCGATTAAAATCTACTTGTGATGAGAAATTGATGAGAGACAAGGGGCGGGAAAGGCTGCTGAATATGATTTAATAATTAATTAACTGAATTAACTAATTTGTATAGCAATAAGTTATACCAGTGAGAGTTGCTATTTAAAATGGCATACATTTAGCTTTTTGTCACAGTATTCACAACATTTTATTCACTAATTCAAACATGACTAAACCATGTTTCTTAAGCAGCGGCTGACTGTCATGTGTGCTTTGCTTCAGGAAGACCAGCTCCACTTGAGATCAAACCACTGCCAGAATGGGAGGAGCCCTGTACGCCCGTCCGCTCGCCTGTCACTCGCTCATTTGCTCGGGAGTAAGTATCGACTATGATCTGTGGGATTTTTTACACTTTTTGTATTTTGCTAACAACTAAGGGCATGTTCACACCACTTTCCTCAGCCCGTTTAAAAAAAACTTTCCTGTCTTTTTAGTTGTGCTTCTTAAAAAATTGAATAAAAAGCCAGCGGCAATAAAAAGAAATTGCTGCACTTCTTCTCAAAGGGACTAACCATCAGCAGCTGATGTTACGGAAACTGTGCATTGCCCAACACGTTACCAAGACAAGATACAGTTTCTTTTTCTTTTGTAGTAAAACTATTATTTGGTGTGAACATTCCTTTTAGTAGTGTTTACAATTAACCAAGTGAGTAGGCACTAACACTTCATGCATTACTGTAGTCACCTTGTGACCAAAGTAGCACTACTCATACACCCTGGTGTGGGATGAAGAATGAATCCTATTGTCCGGTATTGTGGTTTTTAACTGTGGCTGTTACGTCTGTACTGTATTTTGTGTTCACCAGAGACTGTGCTTGTGTGTCAGTCGGTTTGTAAACATTGTGAATGCTGATCAGTCTTTCTAGGTTTCCAATGCCGACGAGACCCGCGTCCGTGCATAGTACGGCCTCCAGCACTGACTCCGAAGACTGTGATGAGAATTATGTAGCCATGGTCTCTAATAAGTCCACAGATGAACCAGTATGTAACACACAACTATCCTCTGAAATAAGAAGTTGCATGATTGTTGTTTTTGAAGATAATCAAGGCTACATGACAATGTGCTAAATGTTGTTGTTTTTTCTATGGTGTTATATGTGTGTTTGTGGTATTGTTCAAACAATTTGAAATCCTTGTCATACACGACATTTCCAAAGACAGTTTTCACGATGAGGCGGGCAAAGTTTGAGGGTTGAACAAAACGCAACGTAGGATGTTGAGCAGATGTTTTTTGCACGGAAAATATTAGAAAGCCCATTTCCAGTTCTGGCTCCTCAAAGACTCACATTATTGTGGACAAATAACTGGTTGCTGCAGATGGACTCCTCACCACTTCCCCTTTTCTTCACAATTTCTTCTTGTTCTGCAGCTCTGCTTTCTTTATTCTCTATTTTGTTCCTTTTCTTTTCAGGTATTGAGTTCTCTAAAAATTAATGTTTGTTTTTGTCAAATAAGTACCCGTACTGTAGTTCAAAAGATTGCTTTTTGTTATGTAGGCATGTGCTTGGCATCAATATAAGATGCATTTTCTACCTTTTTTGGATGCCTGCTGCATCAGCCACACATTGATAAGAAGACATTTGTCTCATTGGGTTTTCTTTCTCTTACAGCTTGAGTATTCGGTGTATCATTTTCCTGTTTTTTTTCTTGCTGTAACAATTGAACTCTTTCCAACATTTGCTTTGATACCGTCTGCTGACTTCCTGTTCTTTCATCCCTCGTATTAATTTCTTTCTTCCTAGTTCTGCATTTCTTTGGCTTCACCAGGCTCTGGTTTCATTAATTTTTCCCGCATTTTGTTCTTGACCATCTGCTCTTTCTTTTTTCCTTTTGCCACTGCTTCCTTCTCACTCTGTGTAGAGAGGAGTCCTTCTACTGCACAGTCCCCATCACCCCTGTAAAGAGGGAGGTGGAGGAACTTGACACCATAGAGGAGGTGAGCAGGGTTGCCAGGTTAGACGTGCATGGCCTGCTCTGTCAGAACACAAGGGGTTGCCAGTTTAGGGTTTTATTATCAGCAAGTTCAAAGTGCATAGTTTGCTGTGCTTTTTGTTGCACCCCAACACCAGCTAGAGTCTTTCGCTTGGATATACGGTTTGAAGCGCAGTGATTTAGAGATGTGAACACTATCTTTGATTATCGTTAGTGTGTAGTAGTTTTGTCACCATCTTAGTTCTAATAACACCAACCCAACGTGTAGTTAGAAAATAATACCACCTTTGGGTCTAAGTGTTGTCACAATACTATAACTTGGACTTTCTACTAATGTTAAAGCTATTTCTCCTTATGTTAAAGTCACTGACCCACTACTATTCAATTTAAAACAGGGCAAGTATAAGAAACTAAACAATGACATAAACTCTGAGCAAGTACAATGGTCTTTTCAGAATTGAAATTTTAAAATGTTATGTGCGTTGCAAAGTCATTAGTATTTCATTGGACAGCATTGCAGCCACTGGAGGTTTGGCATGTTGGTTTGCTGCCCATTTTTGTTGGCTGTATCAGTGAAACGACACTTCAGCAACTTTGCCGGTCTGGTGCCTGTTTGATTGGCGCAGCCAGATGAAAAGAGGTTCACTGATTAAAGAAATTTATTGCCATAATGAAGCAATCAACTTCTAAGTCGAACATCTAAGTAGTGCTGTTTTTCACTACTTGATCCACTTTGATAATTGGTAAACATGGACTGATTATGTTGACCGTGCAGGCGCATTTGGGGTTAATTGTATATTGGTGTCCATGTTTTCATTTTTAAATGATCCTATCCAAAAAACATCAGACCTGTAAATAAATGATCTGAAGTCCGGTTTGAATGCAGTTTGGGGAAATCAAATCAGTCGATCTCTTGAAATCATAGAAAACCAAAATTAGTTATTGTGACAACGCTAGATTGTGTTGAAGTAAGACTAAGCCTCACTGACACTGGCTCAGTGTGTTTCTATTCAGTCAATAAAAGCATCATTTTTCTGGCTTATGCAGAATATGAAGCTTGGCGCCCCCATGACTGCGGACGGGGGGAGCAGCCCTATGGTGAAGGCGAAGGGAGACAAACAGGTGGAGTACCTGGATTTGGATCTTGACTCCGGCAAGTCTACCCCACCTAGAAAGGTAAGAATTAATCAGCCGCCACATTCCCGGCCTTGTGTTCGCATGTCATCTGAAAAGAACTTCAAGACAGCCCTCTGTTTCTTTCTTTTTTCTTTACGAAGGTTAAAAGCAACGGAACTGGAATAACAGTGTCAGATGAGCGTGTGGACTACGTAGTTGTGGACCAGCAACGGACACAAGCCCTTAAGAGCACACGGGAGGCCTGGAACGATGGCCGCCAATCCACAGAGACTGACACCCCTTCCAAGGGACCCAAGTGACCCAAGTGACCCAGTTCTCCTCAAACCGCCAACACACCAACCCCCGAAACCATTGGGCCTTTCACACCAGTGTAGGCTCTGGTGTGTGTGCTTTTGGCACGATCCGGCTGTCACCTTCCACTTCAGCAAGACCCTCAATGTGTAGTGGAGTTTACGCTGCCGTTAGGGCTAGAACAGCACCGTGTGTACAGTTGTAGGAAGTGGGAGGAGCCAGGAATAAGCTGAAGGCAGTATGAAAGTAGGAGGTGGAAATGACTAGACTGGTCTCTGGGGTTTGACTTAAGCAGACCCACAAACCGACTTTGGCTAGAAAGTCTGATCAACAGTTCCCTTAAATAATAATGCTGTTTGATGTGGTTTTTGGAGTATAAATTGAATCTCTTGATAACATGATCACACTACTAGATCCCTGCATCACTCTTACTAACGGAGTAGATTTTTCAGTTTCTCCTGTTTGAGCGAGTGGGGTTCCATAGGCACTGGTCAGTTTTTACCAAGTTGGTGTGAATTGCTGAAACTGGCACTAAAGTGTGTATGTGATACTTCAAACCTGATCTCCATGGTAACCCAGTACGGCAGCATTTTTATAGTTTTATTACTTTTTTTAAAAAGTTCAAGGCATTTTAACTCGTTCATTTTAGAAGTAACTAAGTGCTCAATTTAAGCTTTGGATTCACTCAAGGTTTAATCCACTAGCATGATTCGATTTCCATTTGGCTGTATATGGAGATGCTTCAATCTGTTATAATGGAAGTGCAAAGACTGTACAAAAGTGTTATGTATATAAACAGGAAAAGTGTCCTTTTATTTGCATGGAATATCCAGCATGTTTGACTTGAGGGTATGTGGATTCTGCAGGGTAGAATCCTGTGCCTGTCTTAGGTGGTATCAGGACTTGTTTTAAATGAATGAACTACTGTGAGTTTTTAAAAGAAAGTGACAGGTTTTCTATAAGTTATGCAAAGGTATCAAACGTTAGGCTAGAGAGAGAGAGAAAATCAGGTACTATACAACTAATCATTTCTAATTTATTTCTCAAGTAATTTCATCCGGTGGATTTCTTGTCCACTTTTAGCTCAGTATTCTCGATAATTTGCTAAAGTCTGTTTAAATGCTTAGTTTGACAGCGCCGCTCAATTAGTTTTGCAAGTTTATTAATGTTCCTCATTCCTCTCTCATCTTATGTTTAATTTATTTCAAATTGACCTGGCATACAGTTTGGGGAAATTGACTGCCACATGGAGTCAACGTGATACATCTTTTCTAGACGGTGAAAGTCTTTCTTTGCATAAATCTGTGCTTTACTAACCTGTGAACTCTGACTCAGATCTCCCAAGCTTGTGCTGCCACAAGTTAAAATGATTGCTGTACATATTTTGCCATCAATTAGATTTAACATGTATCATTTGAAAAAATGTGCCTACTAAGTCATCTTCATTCTACTTCACTATTTCCTTATTGAAGTCCTTTTGTGATACGGACTGCAAAGCTGATGATGCTTTATCTTTTTTAATGAATCTCCACAGAAATTGTACATTTTGAAAGTGGACTAAATAAAAATCCAACATCCTTATGCATGTGTGGTCTTTTTTTAAATATGATTTCAATGATAAGGAAATCAAAATGAGAAGGTGCAGAGATGAAAATGCAATTTGAAGGATTCCTGTGCATGGTGAGTTTGATTTTTGTGCGTTCACTTCTGCAAAATTGATGATGGTTAGCCAGTTAGCATCTAGTTCCAAGAATTTCAAAGTAATACTGAAACGTTGTCTATAGAGTTATTTGAAAACATTTTTTACCCTGGGCAATAGTTGCCTGCAGCTATGACTGTCGCCTGAATGATTGTGTTCAACCGCCTAACAACTAACTGCATTGACTGTATGTATGTATCCAGCTAATTATATTTTATATATATATATATATATATATATATATATACACACACACACACACAATTATGGGAACATTTCACAAATAAAGTACACTTTCATTAAGTTATATTTTGTAATTATATAATGTCAACACATGGTAAATATGTTCATTAAATGCACTGCATATAATGTTAGCGTTAGCTTATCTCATTACTTAACGTTTGCATATACTCACTACTTGAGACGACCAACGTTAACGTGGCATTTTTCAACGTAAGAAAATGACCGTAAGTGTACCACCATCATCGTTTTCTGAAGGTTTGGTTGTAAAATGTTTGGCTTGAACTCAATTCAAATGCGCTAACTTTATTAACGGTGACATTAAGTTAGTTAACAGGTCGATGACGCAGCGATGGGACGTCAATTAGACCTCTGCGGTTTTAAGATTAACGTTAGCCTTTTTGTTTTTCAAAAACAACGTTAACACGTTAATAAGTTATGGATTCGCCGTTTTCTCCGGGACATTTATTTTTGGGGAAGGTTAAAGACCTTAACATTCCTCCATGGAGGAGCTAACATTACAGCATTTGGAAAGGTCCTCGTTGCCTTTGGACAAAACAACTTTATCCTTAAGTTGTGTTAATAATACACTTTTCAAGATGTAATGCTGTCAGTTCACTTTAGTGTCAAAATAACCTTTCAGCAAACGTTCATTCTTCTAGTTTCCATCCGAGTTGTGCTTAAAACACTGCAACTAACAACTACAACTACAATTGCAATTTAAAGCACGTGTCGTACCATTTTCACTCCAGCAGGTGGCGCCGTTGCTCGATGAACTCCGTGGCTCTTGTTCTTTGCACACGCCCCTTTCGGTGCAGTCGCTCGAGTTGACGTCCTCCTGGGTGAGGCTCTGCGGCGGTGCTGTGGCAGCATAAATTACCGAAGTAAGTTCTTCACGATGAGCCTCACAGGCGAAGTTGCTGTTGTCATGGGTTACTGCAATGACCTCATTGAAATCCCTGAGTTTGTTTTATTTAATGTTGGATGTGTTTTTTCCCTCCTGCTGTCCATATTGGGCTATTTTTAATACAACATGTGCAGTGATCATTGTTAATTTAATGGTATTTTTGAGGTTACCTTCTGATTTGTGCACATTTTACTTGTATTTAATTTTATGTACTAACCAATCCGCTAATTGTCCATTTTATCATGCATTTTTACTGTGTGCTATAATGTGCTGCAGTACTTTCCAGTTTCAACTTAAATGTCCCATTTCTCGTTATCCTTTGAACCCAAGATTCTCAGTGTGGTATGTAGAAATCATTTTCTCTTTGGATATTTTTCTCTTTGCCGAGTGATAAAAAGGGGCGTGAGAAGCAACTCTAGGAAAATAATTGACAAAATCAACAATCATTTTTTAAAATCTATCACTAGCACATTATCACATCACATCACATCAAGGACCTTTGCAGGTGTGAATGAGTGCGTGGAAGCATTGTTATCCGCACAAGGTCGGCCCCATCGCAACTTTTTCTTTGGCTGATGTATGTCTACTGATGTAAATATCTCTAGCAGGCTATATTTATGGTTTCAGCACAGGCCTCTAGTTTAATCAAATGTAACACGGGCCTCTCAGTCACGTTTCATCCCATAAATCTGTCGGACAACACATCATGAGCCGGTACCCCATCCCACATGGTCTGTCTTTCATTGGCTGCGTTTTATATCCCAGCCCGAGGCTTGTGTTTGCTACCCTGACATACAGCAGATTGTAACAGTTTGCCATCAGGTGGCTTCATCCTTTAGCTGTAATGGAATTTAGAAGCTTCACATTGCTGTCAGACATAGCTGATGGGTTGGCAGGTCAGCACACACGCAGGATTTTGAGTCATTTTCTTTTTAATTTGCTGCTCTTTCAGTGCTCACGAGAGCTGCCGGTTTGCATGTTTAATGTGTCGGAACTAGATTACTGACGATGTCGTCATCTGGGGTTATGCCGGTGTAATTCCTCCGTCTCGCGTTTGACCTTGGGGACCAGGTAACATGGTTTCAACGCGGCGTTTAGAAGCTCTTCTTGGTTCTCTTGCTCACTGCATTAGGAACATTCCTATTTCATAGGAACTTCATGCCGCATATTAACCGTTCAGCCTTTACATTTCGACCTTGTGTCCAAACGCATAACAACACGCGCAACCTTCAACCGGTTAAAAAGCTTGAAGGCGCCGTGAGAAAACCGCCCCAATCACCGTCCGCGTGGCAGCGCGTGAAGTCAAATCGCACCTCGAGTCCTCTTCTAACACGTGGGCCTCCACCTGCACAGTCTTTGGGCCGAGCCTGGACCCTCGGGTGCGCTGAGCGGCCTGTGAGGTGGCGAGGTGTGACATCCTGTGTGTGGGGGGGGGGGGGGGGGCGGTCCTGATGATCGATTTAACAGTATTTTGGATGATACAGGCAAGTTGTTGTTTTAATTCATTTTTTATGGCTCTTTGGGGTAAGGATGAACAATTAAGAATAGCAATTGCAGATATTTTGGCTTTTGAGTTTTGGAATTGAGTTGTGATTTGCAATATTTTAGGGGATGATTAAATCATTATTCTTTTTCTTTCATTTTTATTGGAAAGTGTATAAAAAACAATGTGTGATTTTTGCTTTTATCTGTACCCATCAAGTTTTCTTTTTTATACGGTCAATATATTATGATGTGTAGGCCATGGCATGCTTGCAGAAGGGTTATATTTGATTTAAAATGAGATTTTTACACATTTTTCCCTTAACAAATATCACACCTCCTGCACTGTCAAGGTTTCCGTCGGCCGTATTGGGATTCTGATGGAATTTAGATTGATTGTGCAGCCCTAGTTCAGGGGCATGTTGTGCAATACATAATAATACAGTTTGTTTCCAGGTTTTTGTTTCCATTACGTAGTGACATCACCTCAGCCCCCCGCAAGACGAGACCGTGTACCTGTTATCTGGAAATAATATGTTTGCAGGTTCTTTGGGCCGGTCTTATTCAATTAGGCGGATGTTGCACCGTCGACCAGTATATACTTTGTTGACGTCTCTCTATATTCCGTCAATATTTCAGTTTGACTGAACTTGATCAGTCGCATGTCGTCACAGTTCCTCCTGGTAGGCTCCTATTGAGTCATCACATGCTCTGTTTACCGCATCCGCTGCACCCGCTCATCTGCCAATTCTGGCAGCCGGTCCGTCATTCTCTCAACCTCGCCATCTAACCCCCTCCCCCCCCACCCCACCTTCCACTCCTTCCACCTCAGCAGCATCTCCCCTCTTTCAAGTCTCTTGTCACTCAAAGGCAGAGCCACAGCCGGACTGAATCTAAAACAACACTTAAGTCCCGATACACAATTTATTTTTTGTCCTATTTGTCCTCCTCGTCCGGCTCTTAAGTTGGTCATACAGCGATGTCCTCCTAATGGAAAAAAAAAAAAAAAACACCTGTGGTTTACCAGAATGCAGCAGAGGCAAAGATGGAAATCATTTTGGGTAAAGAAAAGGGCCGTACACATCTGCGTACATATTCAATACTCCCTCGTCCGTCCTTGTCTGCAGTGCAGATAAAGATGTCATTGTACACGCGGGGGGCAAAGAGGACGTTTTCTATAACTCCGTTTTCTGTACATGTTCCTAGATGAAAGCTGCTCCCATGGCGGGTCCACAGCAGTCGGCAAAAACGTGGCCTCCCCTGCACGTGTTCGCCATGCCTTTGACACTGTGCTGTGGATTCTTCTCCATGGCAACCGTCCAGAGGAGAGCGGGGGGGAAAAAGTGGGTGATTTTTAAACTCCCTCTCTTCCTTTCTCACTCTCACCAAAGCCGGCACTAATCACATTTTGCGAGAGCTTGAGGATCGAGTTTTTGTGTTACTTCAATGTCATCAGCAGAGATTTGGAGCAGCGAAACCATTACTGGATTGAAAAAAAAGTGGTATATTATTTATATTCATAAAGCAGCATTCTATGGGGACCTGTAACTCGGCTTATGATTTGCATCATTTTTCCGCTCTACAGTTTAACTGCATTTATTACACGTTTACACTGGTCCATTAACTAAGCTGATGATTATTATATTACTTAGGCTATAAATGCACAACTTTATTGCTCCAGATACAACATTTATACCATGTAACGAGATTCTATTCATTCTTAATAGCTTAAAGAAGCTGCTTGGAGATAATACAAAGTTTATCCCTGCTGATAATGCACTGTTATGCTTCGGCTAGCGTCGATCCTTCCACGCACATTAGGACATAATGTTGCCCAACAGTTAAGTGATTTATGAACGGGATTAGTCAGTCAGCGTCGTAGATTATCAGCTTCTTAAGAATGACGCAGACGAGATCTCCCCCACGATGAGCGCTTAATGTTAATGTAATAATGGGGGGAGAAGGGGACGTCAGTTGTGCATGCTAAGATGTCCATCATTGATTTTACAGCTGTCTAAGGATGGAAGGGTATTTTATGCCTCCAGAGTGCACGCTGCATGCAGGAGTCCCTTGACTCAAATATAGATCGTCTCCTTCAGAGTGCGCTTGGATGTTTCTGCCTCTGTCTTCACTTTTGGTTTCGTGGTGTGTCAGCTCTTCATCTGTGGAGCTTTGGTGTGACAGAGTGTCATATATATATATATATATATATATATACACACACACGTATATGTTATTGACTTGCAGAATACA